CCTCCTGTCCCCCCTGTCCCCGCTCACCCCCCGGCGCGCCCCCGCCAGCCCCCGCAGCAGCATCCGGCCGCAGCGCCCTGGCCCCGCCCCCTCCCCGAGTGACAGCTCTCTCAGCCAGTAGCAGCCCGGTGCGCTCAGCAGGGCGGGAGCGGCGGGGAAGGTGGGACCAATAGGCAGCAGGGGGCGGGGTCAGAAAGGCGGAAGTGGCGGCGGAACGGGCGCGTGAGAGGCGGCGAAGCCATGGCCCGGGCACCGGCACCGGGACGGGGACAGAAACCGGCCCGGGGACCGCGACAAAAACCGGGACCGGGACCGAAACAGGGACAGAGACCGGGACCGGGACCGAAACAGGGCCGGGGACCGGGACCGGGATCAGGAAAGGGACAGAAAGCGGGACCGGGACCAGGACAGGGGCGGAAAGCGGGACCGGGACAGAAAGCGGCACCGAGACCGGAACATGGAGCGGCCGTGCCGCTGCGCAGCAGGTCAGTGCCCGCGGGATGCAGTCGGGATCGCTCCCGGTTTGGGAGCTGGAGTCCCGTTCTCGGTGTCTGCGTCCCGATCTCTGCCGTGCCCGCGTCCCGATGTCTGCCCGTGCTGACCCTGATGGCTCCCCGTGCCTCGGCCCCGTGTCCAGCCGTGCCTGAGCCTCAGCTTCCCACCGTGCTCAAATCCCAGCACCCTTCCGTACAGGGATCCCGGGGTCCCGGTGTCCTGGTGCCGGGGTCCCGGTGTCCCGGTGTCGCAGCCTCCAGGTGCCGGTGCTTCCCTGGAGCCCCCTGACTGTGCTCGTTTTCCCCAGGAAGGAGAAGAAGGACAACATGAAGCCCAAGCACCCAGAGGAGCAGGAGATCCCGTTCCGCCTGCGGGAGCTCATGCGGAGCCGCGAGGCCCTGAAGCGCCCGGGCCCTGGCAAGAGGCAGGGGACAGGTGGGACACGCAGGTGGCCCCAGCAGGTGGCCCGGGGCCTGGCCCGGGAGCCCACAGCATGGCTGGATGGTGGGACATCGCCTCCTCCCTGCGGTGATGTCCCACGGCGCCGTGCCGGCCGGAGGGGCCCCCGTGGTGTCACCGCTGCAGAAATGTCACCCGTCTCTCGCAGAGAAGAAGCAGCAGCAGAAGTGCAAGGGCCCCAGGGCGGCGGGGGACATGGCCGTGCCCCGGTTCCGGAGGGGCAGGGGCGAGTCGGAGCGTTCCTACTTCTGCCGCATGGAGCAGGAGGTGCAGCGCGTCCTCTTCCTGGCAGAGAACCAGCTCCAGAGGGAGCCTGAGAGGGAGGCGACGGCTCCGGAGAAGTCCAAAAGGAAAAAAGAGTGAGAGCAAGGCCGTGTGAGCCACGTGGGGCCAGCCCGTGCCTGTGGCGTGTCCCCTTGGCCAGTTCTGCAGGGCGGGCCTGGGGGGCAGTGAGCTCCCTTTCCATGGGGATGGATCTCTGGGAACAGAGCCACAAGGCTGCTGCACCCTCCTGGGGGAAAAGCTGTGGGGTTTGGGGGGTCCCGTGGGGTGGGGAGTCACTGCGTGCTCCCTGCCCACCCCTGAGCCATAATGTGGCTCTTCAGGTTTCAGAAAAGGAAGCTGGAAAAAGCTCGGAAGAAAAAGGAGGAGAAGAAGGAGGCCATGCTGGAGAAGAGCCTGTTGGAGGGTGAGGATGGCGTGGGGGGGCTGCAGTGACCCCAGCCCCGGGGGGCAGCACGTGGGGGAGCTGGGCTGGGCACCCTGAGGGTCTCCCACTGATCCCTTTCCCTTGCAGACACGGTGCCCTTCGGAGAGGTGGTGACACAGCCACCCACCATCACCTCCCGGCCCAGGGGACGGGGTCCTGCCGAGCAGGTGAGCTCTGGGGACAGTGCCACCCACCCCTCGGGTACCTGGGAGGGCGGCGGTGGCCTCAGTGAGCCGGTGCCAGCCCCTCGGAGCGCATCCCGTGTGTCATCCTTCACGCTGAGCTGTGCCATCTCTGCCTGCAGGCTGGACGGAAGCAGCTCCTCCTGACGCCTCGTCTGGGCCAGCGCCAGGCGTGCCCCGTGTCCCCCGCGTCCCCCGCGTCCCCGGCAGTGTCGATGGCTCGGCGGCGCATCCTGGAGGAGGAGCGGGCGCGCGTCATCCGCGCCTACCGCGACATCCAGCGGCGCAAACAGCTGGAGCGGGAGCGCGCCCGGGCCGGCCCGGGCTGAGCCCTGCCACTCCGGGGGACATTGTCCTGATGCTCCGCGTCACTGCTGAGCCCCGGGGCTGCCCGCAGCTCCCGCTGCACGGCTCAGCACCGCCGTGGGTGCCTGTGCTGCCACGGACTGGTTTGGAGTAAACGGTGCCGGTGGAGCCGGGCTGCGAGCGTGTCTGTGCTCCCCCTCCCTCAGGGGTTCTGAGGGACACTGCTGTGCTGGCAGATGGCAGCCGCAGGCATGTCACTGTCACCACGGGTGGCCCTGGCAGGGCTCTGGTGGGGGCAGGAGCCTCGTTGCTCAGCCGTGAGGAGACCCCAGTGCCCGCCAGCTCAGCGCCCGCTGGGAGGAAAATGTGCCGGTGCTGGGGATGTGGAGTGTGCCACTTGCCTTTATTGTCACTATTGTGACCCTGCTGGAGCCCCAGGGCCGCAGCCACACACAGCCCTGCCCCTGGCATCCCTGCCCGTGTCCCTGCCTGGCCCCGGTCACGGTGGCCCCGGTGCCAGGTGTGCTGCCACGTCCCCGCCGCTGCGCCCGCACCACCCCGGTGCCACCTGCCCTGCGACCCCCCCGGGCAGCCCCCGGCTCCGGGCAGGCTCCGGGGCTGCTCCCGGCGCGGCGCAGCCGCGTCTGCCTCACCTGGCCGGACAAAGGCTGCGCTGTTCCGCGGCCCCGGCGGCACAAAGCGCTCGCTGTTGGAGCGGGGCCGCCCCGCGCCGCGGCCGGCGCTGGCGGGGCCGGTGGGATCCCGCGCTTCCGGAGGGGCTGGGCACGGCCGCGGGGCCGCTCCGCTGTCCCCTGCCACCCCCGAGCGCCTCGTTTGTCGGGTGGCTTTGCCGTCCCCAAGGTGTCACCGCTGTGTCCCCGGGGAGGTGCCTTTGGGGGGTGAGGCGCTGTGCCACGCGGTGCCCGCGGGCGGTAGGAGGGAGGGCGTGCTGTGGTGACAGTGGCCCTGGTGACACCGAGTGCCTGGTGCTGCTGGGCAATGTCCCCGCTGCCGCTCGGCACCAGGCAAACACGGGTGACAGGTAAACACGGCTGACGCAGCACAGCCCGGGGGGCACGGCCACATCCCGCTGCCAAACACCGGCTCCGTCCCGCGGCCGTGTCCCCGGAGAGGGTTTGTGCCAGCTAAAGGCACAGCCGGGACGCGGCGAGTGTGTCCCTTGTGCCCTGTGTGTCCCTTGTGCCCACCGGCAGCCCCAGCGCCGCCATCCCGGCTCCGGCTCAAGGAGACCCGGTCACCCGCTGCCCCCACCGAGCCGCTCCAGCCCTGAATAATTCATGGCTCTGCTGGCCGCAGGCTTCCTGCCCGGAGGAGGAGGAATGGCTCTGGAGGGGAAGGCAATCCGAGCGGGAAACCACCGCGACCTTGGCACGTCCTCCGTGCCGTGCCACCTCCTGCCCGGCAGCCCATCTGCCCACGGCATCCCGGCCCCGGCGGGGGGATGGGGGGGCCCGGGAGCCTGCCCGGAGCCCCCCTGCTCCCTGTCCTGCCCGGGATGGGGCACGGGGCTGAGCCCGTGGGTGGGGAACACCTGGGACCCCCATCACAGGCCACCTGTGACAGCATCATAGGAAAAACCACCTTTATTGGGGCGACCTGAAAAAAATGGAAAGGAAACTTGACAGAGAAAGCCGCCAGGAGGGCGAGGGGCCCAGCTCCCTCCCCACTCCGGGCAGGGGGAGCCCCGAGCGGGGGAAAGGCACCGAGAAGGCGGCCAGAGCTGTGGGGGGCTGGTCCCCAGCCCCAGCAAGGCACTGATCCCCCTCCCCCAGCACCGGGGAAACAGAGGCACGGGAGGAGCAGAGCTGGGGACAGCTTGGTGTCCCCTTGTGCCCTGCGCTGCGATGGGGCCAGCTCAGCTCGGGGTGCCCAGGGCTGGGGGGTCAGTGTGGGGCCGGGGGTGCCCTGGGGGGGGGTCCCACGGGGCTCTGGAGGGTCCCTGGCCTGGGGGAGGCGGGGGGTCTGTGCATCACGAGGCAGTGAGGCGACAGCCGGGGTGTCCTCACGGGAGCCAGTCCTTGAGGCAGGGATGAGGGGCCGAGGCCAGGTGGGACGGGCAGGCGGGAGCGCTGGCTCTGGGGCCGTGTCCAGGCGTCCCACGGGCAGGAAGCAGCCCTGGCTGCCCCCGGGTGGCATTCACTCAGTCAGGGTGGGATGAGGCTCGGCGAGCCCTGGCAGCGGGACGGAGGGGCCGCGGCGGCTCCGGCGCTGCGGGAGCTGTGCCTGGGGGGCTTCACCACCGGTTCCTGCTGTACGGGGACTGCACCTGTGGGCACAGCGGGGTGGCACCGCGGTGGCACCAGCACCGTGGACGTGTACCCTGACCCACGGGGGGGCTCTGGGTGCCGGGCAGCGCCGTCACCACGGCAGGGCCGGACTTTGCCCCCGCTGCAGCCACCGTTCACCCACCTGGCAGCTCCGGGTGTCCCTCGGGATGCTGGAGTGCCGGGCCTGCGCCGCGAAGGCGTCCTCGGCTCGGAGCGTGGAGCTGGCGCTGCCGGGCACGGGGCTGGTGGAGGCGCGGGGCAGGATCACGTCGTAGGGACCTTCACTCTGAGGGACAGACGGGGTGGAGGTCACAGCACTGGGAGTGCCCCAGCCCCACGGGGTCCCGGGGGTGGAAGGCTTGGAAGGTCCCCACACAGGGGTCACAGGAACACCCCACTCACACCCTGTCCCCCACGCCCCAGTGTCACACTCACCAGCCCCTTGTGCATCAGAGCCATCTCGGTGGGCTGGTAGACGCTGGTCAGCAGCTGCCCATTGTAGCCACTGTATGGGGACACCGGCTTCTTGGCTGCTGAGACACGGGGACAGTCACCATGGAGCCAGTGCCACCTCACCGGGGCTCCTGTACCTCGTTAGCAGGTTTAACGAGCTGGCTCAGCAGC